ATTACAAACACGTTCACACTTCGGATTCGTTAATTTATAACAAAGTTGATAAATAAAAATGTGGAACCCATTCCACGCGTGGAACCATTTTGTGACTCACTTCAGTACGTCATGTCAGTCGTAAATCGCTAGTGGCAATAGAAAGGTGGATACGTTTGACCAATCCAGGTCGATATCCGTAGTAAAATAATTACACGATTACAGAATGGTAAAGGCATTTTTAGCCAACACATTTCCAAACGGTCGGTAACTTCAGCCGTGGATTATTACGACAGACAGTCGTTAACCTTGAAGTTCCTGTTACCGAGGGAGGGCCGTATTTAGAACTTCATCGAACCAAAAGAAGCGGATGAACCGGTTCCAAGTAGATTTCGTTCTATCAAACTTTGTCCCGTGCTTGATATTGAAAATCCACTGCATTGCTATTCAACGCAATTTTTCTTAACATTTTACAACCTTCTTGCGTTGTTTTGATAAATGGCTTTGATACCTTACAGGAAGGAGTGAGGGCAGATATATTTACATATCGTCATTGTTGCATATTTATTTTTAAGTTATCAGCCTGATGTACTGATTATACTCAGTACACTGTTCAACAAGAATTTTAATCTGTAATATCCATCATGTAATTCTCGTGGAGTTTATTTTCCTGGACACGAATCCCTAACCTAAATTGCTCTGGATAAAATGAATTATTACGTAAAAAGTTAAAGTGTTAATCGGTTCATTCTTATCTCGAAAGTTAGGTTAATCCGATACGAATTTGCTATAAAGTATCGTATTCTGTAGGCTTTCCTGGAGAAGAAACCATGCATCAGAATTGTAGAAATAGTTTTCATTTTGATTAGATGGAGAAAATATTCGTTGGTAACGCGTACACGGGGTTTCACCGCCACGCCGCCATTGCTCGCTGCTGTAGCTTCGGCAGTGCCGTAGCTACGAGTAATCCGAGTATCAAGTGCAATGTAGCTAATATAAAACGGTCTATGAAAAAGAAAAAACAAAGAAAATGCAATTTTGACAAAGTTCAAAGGGAACATTGAAAATTTACAAGAGATAGGAAATATCTTAAACTTGGTGCGTAGCTCTTAGCTTGGTATCGTTTCCTAAAAATTATTCTTTAGGAAACGATACCAATTACCGGGTCTCACCACGTGGAGGTGGCTACGCATCGAGACCCGGACATGCGCCCTAGTGGCGCATCCTGCTGACGCTATCCGTATCAAAGATAGCCTAATCTAACTTGGAGCGAATTAAATTAAAGTGACTCTACTGACACTTTATTTTACTTCGTGTCTTACAAAGGGGACTTCGGTTCGGTATACTAAAACTCTACTGTCGCAACGCTAAGATATTTTCAAGTTCCCATAAAAATAGGGAATGAAAAATCAAACACGCGAGCAAATAGAAAATCACGACGCGCCCGAACGAGTTCGCGATCATTCGAAAGACCGACTAGCCTAGGCGACGTACTCCTGTGCACAAGCAACTTCACACCTCGGCACCCTCCCGATCGGGCCTTACCCTGCCTGCCACCGCCGACCTCGCCATGGCTTACTCGATGACCTAAGGCAGCCAACGAACAGGGAAACACCCAGAGTCAATCCGAGGGTCCTATGCGAGGCCTAACAGTCGGAATCACGCGCATGCTCCATACCTCGGCTCTATGCAAACATAACCGCATAGCCGCCAAGTGCTAGAGGGACAGGCAGGCACGCTCTTGCAATGATTCCGACTGCAGGGCCCATCCCCCGGTCGTGTGCGCAGATTGACACCCAGGACGACTAAGGTCGACGGACCCTCATGTTGCACCAGATGCCTCCCCAGCCCGAGGGCCACGAGAGATCTCGATGCATGACGAGATTGACAGGTGGCAGAAATGGGTGTCGGAGACGAGTCATGAGAATGACTTACGAGGCGTGGAGTTGTCGAGTACACGGGAAGTACGTTGCGTAGGCTAGTCGGTACTTAAGAACGATCGCGATTATCGCGAGAACAGTTATGTTCTGTTTGGTAAACGAGAGGGTAAGAGAATTGATATATTTCGCTCCAAGTTAGGTGGCTTATCTTTGAACGGATAGCGCGCACATGAAACTTAGTCTATGGATCTATCTTATCCTCCTTATAACTACTTAGATCTAAACGCACGCATTCCGCGTCGTCCAACGGTGTCTTGAAAAACCTGAAAAGCCGAAAAGGAACAGGTTAGTTAGTGATTGGTAAAACATAATAAAAGCAAAACAAATGTAAACCATAATGATCAATGAAATGGAATACACAATCCAACGGTGAGACATAAACGACCCAATGATGAGAAATAAAAAACGAAACGATGAGACGTTCGAATATTATACGAAATATTCGAATGTTCAAATAAGGATAGATATAAACGAAGAAATAACAGCTGAAATAAAAAAAAAAAAATAATTAGAACCTGAAAAAATAAAAAATAATTAAAATCTGAAAGAAAAAAATAATTAATAGCTGAAAATAAAAAGAATGATTAGTAAATTGTTTAAGGGGGAGGGGTGTGGGTAGGGTGGCTAGCCCCGACCTCACTTCGGACCCACCCCCCCACTCCCGCACACGAAAAATTTATATGTTGCACTCCCGATGCCAAACTGGCAAATGACTCAAACAATGGCGCGTCGCCCTTTATATAATCTCCGATCGGCCGAAAATTGACGGAAATTTGCGAACATTACCGATTCCATTAATTATTATTTTTCCACCATAATAACCTATGATTTATTCATTTTTTCACTTCTATTATAAATTCACATTGTGAACAATTTGTTATTAACAATATTAATTTGTTATTAACAATAAGTGTAATAATTTATAAACTTTTTGCAAAATTATAGGCACATTTTAACATTTGTTTGTTATAAATTCATGTAATAACCAGTAATTTACTAATTTTTTCACTTTTATTATACATTTACGCCATGAACAATTTGTTACTAACAATATTAGTTTGTTATTAATAATTAGTGTAATAATTTACAAATTTTTTTTCCAATTTCAGATACTTTTTAACATTAGTTTGTTATAAGTTCAAGTCAGAGTCAATAATTTATTAATGTTTTCACTTTTATTATAAACTTAGGTTGTGAACAATTTCTTATTAGTAATAAATTTGATAATTTATACATATTTCATAAAGTAAAACTGCATTCGCATCTCCATAGCATAAAATTCTATGATACGTATATGTATGTCAAAATATTTTCATTTTCGCTATATTTTTTGGTTAAAATGAAATATTACACGAAAAGTAAAAACTTTGGAAGATTCATTTTCATTTTAAATGCTACGTGGGAGTTTATTTTTTAACTACTTTGTATTAAAAAGTCAACTAAATATAGTACTAAATTTAACAACAATATTTGTCAAAAATATTACTTTTTACAGAACTTCACATTTTTCTACCATGCTATAAATTTATACTATATGCGCAAATAATCTGTGTAACAAATAAAATTCTCTATTTTTTATCATATAAAGAGAAAATTTTTCAGTAACAGTCTATTTTTTATGAAATTTCAAATAGGTATCTTCTCAATTACAAGCATTTTGTGTAATTAAAAGAATACTTATATAAGTATAGTTCACTTTCACCCACCGTTGATACTATCAGTTTTACAACAAAAATTTTATATAATTGAAAAAGTACAGGCAATTATTAATATTACTTCTCATTTATATCTTTATAAACTCGAAGAGAAAATTAAATATGGGACTGAGGTCGGCGAACCATAGAAGATTCCGTTCCATCATCCTTATCCAATGAGATCCTTCGCAAGAACGAGCGATATTTTTTCCTTTTCTCTCGATCCACTTTTTTGCCGTCGACAAATCTCCTTTTCACCCGCCGAGGAACGTGTATTAAACCGGTCTGCAGTCACGGTAAAATTAAAACCATTTATTCATCCTATCAGGCTACAAAATCGAAGAAATACTAACTAATAGTCATAAACTTGCAGAACGAATCTTTTATATTTCGATACTAGTCAAATTTGCATCAGATTGTGCAACGTTCCGTGACACGGAAATAAAGAAAATTATTCTCATCGTTTATGAGTTACCGACACTCAGTAAAGTCGGTAGTTTTATTCCTTCACGTTTGAAATGTGTAGAAAGAAATCGTTAGCGTTCGGTATAAAAGTGAATCTTACTACTGTTATGATATAAATTCGTTGGAAATTCTCGGGAGTAGCTTTATTTTTATTTATTGATGACTGAGGTAAAGAAAGGAGAAGAAGATGGTGGGGACATGGGCCCCTTCCCCTTTCACCTTCGCGAAGGAGCAACGAGCAACTGGCCGCGATTTCTTTCCTTCTTGGATACGTGGCGACGCGACTTTGGCGACGCGGTTGGTCAAAAACGGAAACTCGCGATCTGTTCGCGACGGGAAAACGAAGCGTGATCGTGCCAGCTGTGAACCGTCGTCTGCACACACCGATCGATGCACGTGGTCATTTGGATCGTTACCAATTGTCTTCCAAGATCGTCGTTTCTTTCGTTTCAACAAGATATTCGCGTCCACGAGTGTCGATTTTCCCGCGAAATATTCGTTGCGACACCTAGCTACAACTAGAATTGTTTACACGCGAGACGCGTGACTGACCGTCGTATCGTTTACGAAAGTGAGAACAGTGATTTCGACGAGCGAGTTTTAGTTTTACCCGAAGAGCTTTGCGAGCATTGTTGCGTTCATGGTCTACGCATAAGCCATTTCGGTCGTGGTTTTTTTGTGCAACTGACGCGGTTACAGTTTCCGCGAGGGAACTTGTTTCGCCGGTAGGCAAGAAACAAAGACGCAGTAAGCAGAAGTTTCGTTTAATATGGCAAACGTCTCGCCGACGGTTTCCGACGCTGAAAATAATTCGCGATAAAAACGTTCGATAGGTTCGCCATGTCGTGGAAGTTCTTTGCGTCCAGTATCGAATTTCAATCTAACGGACCGAGCAGAATTTATTGCTTTCTCGTTCACGTTTCGATCTATTCTCCGAACGCTGTCGATAACTAACCTTACTTATCCAGTCCGATTCGTAACCGAGACCGTTCGAGCTTCGGAAAAAAGTGATTCGTCGTGTTGACATGAAAACCAATATGCCGGACGTTAAGCAGGAAACGGGTAAAATCGAAGACCTCCGGGGGTTGTTAAAACAAGGTTTGAGATCGAGAGTGTGTCAAGAGCACGGCGAGCAGGATTGTCCGAGTGAAAATGAACACGAGTTCGACTCGCTGGAGTATGAGGAAGATGTTTATTACTCAAATCTGACGGCAACCCCGAGCTTCGATGACATCGATGAGCTGAGTGACGATGCCGACGAAATTGTGGTTCATTGCTGGCGGGATTCGAACGGTGATATAGACGAGATCGTAGTGGACGACGCGAATTTGTCGGTGGAAACACAGTTTTTAACGTCTGACAGCGAAGACGGCGCCACTGGTCGCGGTCGGAAGAAAAAGAAATCGGTTCGAGTGATATTCCAGGACTTCTCGAAACCGTATCTGGCCAAGATCAGTAACAGTCAGAATTACAAGAAGTTCCTCGAATTGGTAAAAGGTGCAGCATATAATTCGTGTGAATGGTAGTGTCTGGTATAATTTTTAGAAGTTAAGTAATGTGGATTGTTGATAAAGTAGAATTTCCATGCTTTCTTTCTATCCATAATAGATTTCTGCTGAATCGATTGATAATTTGATTTACATTTTTCGTTCATCAATATCGACAGTTGATAAATTTATAAGTGTTATAATTGCATTATAGTCGAGATTAAACTTGTTTAGATCGTATTGTGATAGGTGGCAGTCACGCGATGCATCGCATTGAAAATTCTCAGGTGGTTTAAGTATTTATTTTAATAGGCTTCTTTCCGCATTTTTATAATTCCCGCGCTTTTTATGTATTCGTGTTGAAGTCCGAAGACAAGGGTCATATTTTTCGTAGACAAGTTCGAGTTATTGTTTTATTGCTTTATTTATCAGTCTAGTACAAATTGCGAATTGGAACCAGTACATAAACGATCATAAAAGTAGAACGGTGTGTGGCAAGATATGAAAGTGAGAACTATATCAAAGTTTCGTGGTATCGCGTCCACCGAATACCGCTGGACAACGGTACCCGAGAGTAACGTTACATTACCATTTTTGTAATCACAAGGAGCATCTATTGTATTTTATTTAGAAGAAGGATATTACCGTCGTGATAAATTTTTCATGTGCACTTATCCGATCGTAAAAGAAATTGAAACAGTGTAATGGTGTTGTAACCAAACCGATATTTTTCGGCGGTCAATTTAAAAGCTGTAAATGTATCAATGGAGATTTACGATTGGATACCCGTCGTTTATATTTGAAGCTTTTGAAAATGTCAGTTAAAATTATTCGAGCATAAAATTAATTCATTTTCCATGATGAAATGAACATATTCCTAGATTTTCGGTACGATTGGAAATAATACAGGGTGTCCCGAAAATGACCATTTATTTTTTGAAACAGTATGTATTTTAGAAAAGCAATTATAAAGTGTATATTTATCGAAATGAAATGCATGTATTTTTCTATAAATACATGAATGCATGTGGCCTTTAATTATTAGTTATTACACGTCAATCTGTCAGTGTGTTTACAAGTCACGAAACAGGCTTTCATACATTTGATCTATAGTAATTTTTGAATCATTTATATAATAGAATTACGTAGATAAGGTAAACCCCTAATTTATTTTCCTTAGTAATTAAGGATAGATCTCTAGATCCTATTTTATAATATTTTCTCAAAATTTTTTTTTAATTTCATTATACCTCACATTTTTTATGTTCCTTTTAGAATGAAAAGAAAATGTAAATGCTCGATAATTTAGGAAATCATCAAAATTATTGAATCAATCTTTTTTCCAAATTTTATTTCTCAAAATAAATAATTTTCAATGGTAACCAATCTGAGTACCATACTTCCGGATATTACTAATATTTTCAAAGGTGTTCGCTCGTTACGCTTCATGTATCTCACCCTACAAACAGGAACTACCTTTTTAGCGTTAATTATCATCGCAAAGTTCGTTTAGCTGGGGTTTCTTGCAGTTTTAGTCGGAACGTTCTCGCAACGCCATCACGCTTGGCTGACCTGGCGAAAGCCTGCGGTGTCGGTAAATGGATGATATTCAATATCTCCGCACGTTTAGCCGGAGATCAGTCGATACAGATGTCCTCGCGATCGTTCCAGATTTCGCGCTTATAAGCGGCCATTTTCTCCGCAGATTTCGTTCCGTTCCGTTATGCTTTCACCGATCGCAAATTCAAAAAATGCACTTCGAAGAATGGATATTTTAAAGAAATCTGTGAAACTAACGATTTCGCGATCATTCGAGAAATCAACTAACCTACACGGCCTGCACTCTCGCGTACAAGATATTATTAAGCTTCGACGCCATCGACCGATCAGTCTGCACTCAACTCGAGTCACGAGCGACCTCGACAGGGCTTACACAAGAACTAAGGTAACCCTGAACCAATGATACTCTAGTGAAGCCTAGTAGCAGAGTGTACCGTATCCCTGCTGCAGGGGGCAGGAGCTATGTAATTAAGGACTATCTCATAAGGTCTGAGCTGTATTAGACGAGTTCATATTAGAGGGCTCATATCCTACTCGAGTAACAGGTACTCGGGTAGGCAAGGGTCGGCATACCCTCGCCCAAAACACCATCGGTCTGACGATATTGCTCACATATATGACCACTGACCGAGAACTGACGCGTTGGTTAAACATCACATAGGTGTATTTTCATGAATTGAACGAAATTATCTAATACTGGCCAAAGAAGACGTGTCTGCATTAAAGTAAAACTATGAAGCAAGGAGAGTGAATGATATAGAAAAATTCTAATATTAGAGAATTTATATTTTTTAATAATAATTTTTTCCTAATGCATTCTTTGAAGAAATTTTTATATATTTTCTGCAATATAAAATGGCCAATATATGTACATGTGTACATTTAAAATTAAAATATAGTCAGTTAGGGATTATGCAAATGTCAGTAATTCTTCCTTATACTTTTATTTTTTTCCAAAAGATATATAAAAAGTTAAATTTTTCCGTTTTGATAATTCGATGCTGGTTGAATCATCTACTTTAGACAGTACCCTACTTTAGTGGACCCTATTTTAGACAGGCAGTACCAAGAAGTGGCGGGGTTAAGCCACAGGCGTATGAACGAGCAGACCCGTGGCCATATAGGCGGACATCAAATTCATTGCACGTAAATGGCGAACAAAAGAAGTTGCAAAATTAGTTATGTTTCATTTAATAAATTTACTTTTTATTCTCACTATTTAGATAGTGTATTTTGATGCAGAAAATGCACGTAACGATCTTAGCTTAGGCAACCATCTTATAATTACTTAGAACTATGACACATGCGTCCCACGACGTCCAACGATATATCCCCTGAGAAGAGATGTCGAGAGAAATTTTGCAAGACGTAAACTAGGAAGTTTGGACCCGAGTTGCATTCAAAAGATTTATGAAGCGGAATACGAAATGCATACAAAGCAAAGGAAGTTTATGAGAAGAAAAGAATAAGATGCTAACAAGCCGGAGAATAAACTCAACGATGCAACGTAGAATCGAGTTCGAAGATAATGGACTAGCATAATGGAAAAATATGAAATTAATTAGAAGAAGGAGAAATAGGGATGAGCTCCTTTAAAAATGTATCATCGTTAGTGCAATATATAATTAACGAGTCTCCTTAGCAGTGGCTTCCAAGTAATTGTTTTCTTATTGCTCTCCTTAACTCGGAAATGTTTTTGAATTATACAAATAATTCAGTTATTATAAAAGTTGTTTATGGATGTTTATTAAAAATTATATTTCATCCTCATTGTCTCAGTTTTGAGTATATCATACTTGTAGAAACCCCAAAACATTTTTAAAAAACATCCTAGAAAATAAATTAATTTAACAGTTGATAAAATAATTAATTAAGTACACAAATTTTTATTACCAATTATATTATAGTAATAAATTATTAAACAAATTATTAAGGTCATAGGTCTGGGTAGAGTAATAGTGATTATCCCCCAGCATCCTATAGTCCTTTTGGTTACTGATTATTCCACTCACATCTCTGTATTAACTATTAATTTATTAATTTTTTCATTTTTATTTTATTTTATTTCATTTTTAAATAAATTTATTATCTAATGCATAATTTATTATACAGCATGTCAATTTTATATGAAAAAATCAATTGCAAGGATAGAAAACAATAGCTTACCACGTAAAGAGACACCAGCATCCGTGATTCGAGCTCTGACTATACGTAACATGATCGATAAAACGACAACGATCTGTATCCTTTCTTCGTGGTGGTCAAACTTGCGTAATTTTCATACCGTGTCTTTGAGATGTCCGTCTGGCACTTGAAAGTCTTTTAAACACTTCGACCTCGAATTACCTAATTATTATGTCTGAAGTAGAAAACAAGATATTCCTGTTCCTATTAATATCAAGCAATCAATAATTCACTCATCGCTACGAGAATTACATATTAAAATAATCCGTCAATAATTAATACCGTAAATACAGATAAAAATCTCATACGTTTATACACATCTTACGTTTGACTCGATCCATGACTGAATTGTTCGTATATTTTCTCACTTGTTAAAATTCGATCGAAACTGTTGCGATCTATCGGCAGTAATTTGTATTCACGCTCGTAGCTCAGTACGAGCCGACGCTCTGTCGAAATTACCGGTTCAGGTAAAGCACGTTTCTGTTGCAGATGAATTTTTAATCTTCCGAGATAGTAAATTTACGTACAGTGCATTTTATATCTTAGTAAGTGACTAATGGACCGCTGCTATTGGAATTTCCGACGTAGCTTGTATTTATGGTGGCAGGTCCGGCTATTAATTTTGAGGTTACGTTTGCCTCGATCTTTTGTCGTCGCAGTTCTTAACTCGATTATTCGCACACGAGAAACTTGCGAACTCTATTAAAAGTTTCCAGACTTTGCGAAAAATTATTCTTTATTACTTACAGTGTCAGGTAACGAATATTGTATATGGTCACCATACATAATATTCTTAATATAACAGAGATATTGTGTATCAAAAATTGTACATTAAAGTACGTAAATTACAATTTAGATTTGCAAAAATCCATCACATTTTGAAGCTGTAAATATTTTTAAAAATTATTTTAGTTTTATTTACTTTAACACAGAATGTTTTTATATATCAATTTATCATCTTTTAGGTTAGGATATTCAGAATAAAAAGATTCTTTTGAAATTTCTGTATTATGAGTAATTTGCAAATATCCATCACATGTTGAAGCTGTAAATATTTTTAAAAATTATTTTAGTTTTATTTACTTTAAAACAGAATCTTTTTATACATCAATTTATCATCTTTTAGGTTAGGATATTCAGAATAAAAAGATTCTTTTGAAATTTCTGTATTATGAGTAATTGACGTTTAGAATTGTTATTGTTATATTTGTAATTCGTGGAATTTTAATACCGCTTAATCGTGGAAAGGTCGTGCAAGAAATGCAGTATTTTCTAACGCGTTTCATGGGTTTCAGGAGAAGACGCTAACCTTCACTCGTCTGGTTATATCTCGCCAACGTCGGATAACGTGGTGAACGAGCTGCAAGGACTTTCAATAGAGGAGCAAAATCGTCAAAAGGAGGAATGGAGCGCGGAATTGGCCAAAGTACGTAGCTGCTTTGCTTTTTTCGTTTCGTTGGAAACGTTGAATAATTAAAATGGCGAAATATGACTGGCGGGAGACTCAATGACGACGAGATCTCTTGGTACTTAGTTTCGTGAAACAGGTTCTGCGTTAGGCTTGTTCGAGATCCTTCTTGAAACGGTTGTACACGTTTTCGAAAGCAGTTGGAAAGTGTATAGTTAATAATGGTGAAAGCGGTTTTGTATTTTCTTTGTAGTCGATTGTTTGATATCATAAATTATTGAAACAATTCGTAACTTTTCTCTTTTAACGTGTAATACGATTTTTATATTTTATGGTTTTGGAATATAAATTAAGTTTGAATTATTTTTCTATTTATTTTTTAAAACGTTTTAAAATTAAAAATGCAAACATTGGCATTGTTTAATGACATCGTTTAAATTTGTTAATTTGGAGAAATATCTCTAATATTAAATGAAATGAAAAATTACAGTGTTTTATTAAAATTAATATTTCAAATCGTGCAAAATGGCAGTTTCCGGCAGAATTTTAGAATCAGATTTATTTAATTGCACAGGAAAGCTGCAGTTTCTTATGCTTTTACCTTCTTACATTTTAATTAACCTGAAAAGTAATTGAGATCTCAAAACAGTATATCCTCTTATGTGAGTACTAGGATAGAAATTTTTTTTTATTTTAATTTCTTTTCACAGTGTATAAAATTGCAAGATACAAGATTATCTTTATATTCTTCCTTATTTTAGACCATAAGTTATACATTAAATAGTATTTTAATTTAAACGAGAATTGAATATATATATCTTTTTATTTTTCATTGTATTATAGTAGATATCAAATGATATTTTCTTTAACCTTCTCCTATGTGGTAAAGAATTCCTTTATTCATCAATTAAAAATTTTGCTTTTATCAATTATCATGGATCTATAATAGAATTTGAAACCTAAAACTTTTGAAAGTTTTGATATATTTGTAAACAAATAAATATAATAAAGAAAAAAATATGTAACTGAGAATGGACAATATGTATGCATACAAATGATAGTGATTAAAATAATCAAATTTTGGAGGTTTTATATTTGTGGAATTAAAGTTTTATCAAATTTTTAAAAATAGAACACACTTTTTTATTTAATGATAATCACTTTTTTTTTTAAATATAAATAGTAAGATTTTTGAGACTTTCAAAACTCAAGATTCAAGACTTTCAAGTGTTTTTGAGTAATTGAAATAATTTACAAAATTCTTTAATCATTTCGAAGTTAAGATTCGAACCACCGATATTTCACGTGGAACGAATCGTGTTAAATTTTCAAAGGGTATCGATCGTATTTCGAATTCCATTAAACTCTGAAACCACACTCGCACGAGCGTCGAAGTTACGAACAAGGCGACGGCCGCCATTTTGATGGATGTTATGGCGCAGCTACGCTGTCGTTGGCAACCATTGCAAAAGAAATCTACCACATTGGTAAACAATCAATATTAACATAAACAAAGTAGGATAATACGGTTAAATTTTTTCCATACACAAAATAAAAAATATTTAAATTTTGGTTGCACCTCGTATTTAAAAAATGTACTGCAAAACATACTTAAACACGACTATTGCATAGTTATTAATCGATATACTATACAGTTACCAATATAGTTACTGTATAGTTACCAATCTAGCAATAATTATTAATATAATTATTAACCTAATTACACTCCAATTACCAATATAATATTTATCTCACAATTTCTTGATATCATCAATTTCTTGACAAAAAAGAAAAAAAAAAGAAGAAAAGATATAAGTCAAAAGAAAAATGAAATGAAATGAAAAATTTTCTTATTTCTCCAGAAATAAGTATAATGTCATTAATTTTATGTCTAATTATGATTCGTAAAATTACTATTGCATAGCTATTAATCGATGTACTATATAGTTACCAATATAGTTACTGTATAGTTACTAATCTAGCAACTGTATAATTATTAACCCAATTATACTGTAATTACCAATATAATATTTATCTCACAAATTTCTTGACATCCATAGAAAAGAAAAAAAAAGTAAAAGTCTAAAGAAAAATGAAATAAAATGAAAAATTTTCTTATTTCTTCAGAAATAAGTATAATATCATTAATTTTATGTCTAATTTTGATAAGTAAAAGCACGCGAAATGCATAACGTCCATCCTAATAGAACGGCAAATGTCGATAGATCGTTATTCAGCTAGTTATTTCCACGCTTGTGTGACCACGATCCTAATCACTGAAAAGAGCCTAATCTCTGCACGAAAGAGAAGTTGGAGCTCGAACGATTAAACTGTTTCGCGAAGAAGCTGAAGAAGTCACGTGTCGTAGGTGGAGGAGGAGATTCAGACCCTGAGGCACGTGCTGGCGAACAAGATCAGAGTCTCTCAAGACCTGAAGAGGAAGCTGGGCATCAGCGTTTGGAAGGAGATCACCGATGACGTGAATCAGGGCTTCAAAAACGTTAAGGAGAGTCAAGTGTACGTTTTCCACCAGTTCCTTAGAAGCACGCACTCCTCTCTTTATCTTTCACCCTCATCTTGCACGAACGGAGTCTTCACTGGGATTTGCCAGTGCTGTCACAAGCAGAGGGCCCTCAGCAGCATGGTCGATTCTTGCATCGTTTACTCGGCTGACATGTCTTCTGAAGATCACTCGATTCACTCGATTCACGGTCTGATCACTTGGATCATGAGATTTTGAGGAAAATTGGACTTCAACGTTTCGTTTCGAACAATAGAGATCTCCTGCTGATAGAGCAATCTCATTTTACGACATGTTGCTGATGCCCGAGACTCCAAGTACAGTTACGAATGCCACATGCGAACAATTGTTGCGGTTCGAGCTAGAGCTATGAAAGCTTGTTGCCACTAGAAAGACCCCGAGGTTGCTATAATTTGTTCTTATACATTAACGAGTTTGCATTCGTCTATAATCCACAAGTAGACGGCTAAGAGTCTTTAGACCCCTTTGTCTTATGTTCGACGTTGCAAATTATGTTTATCAACTCTTTGCCGCATAGATATCGCGATAAGAACCGCGAAGAACGAAAATAAGCATGCATAACACTTACCCTGTACATTTATCAACGACTTAGAGGTGTGCTGGTAGGCAGAGTTTGGGTATCCCAAGTTAGGGTCAGGATGGAAGAGGTTGGCAGGTTTGCTTCGAGATTTTGAGATCATACCACGTACATAGCCTTGTATTTGAAGTCTTGAATAGGGTACGTGACTTGATACATTTGCTGCTCTATAGCTTGATGACTCAGGCTTGAGATAGGACAGAGTGCATCACCCAGCTGAGAGATCTATTTAGCTTAGTGCTAGAAATACTAAATCGGTTAAGAGTTTGGATGCTTTCAGGCTTCCAAGCGTTTTTGGTAAAGTTAATATTAACCTTCCTTGAAGTAACAACCACTTTAATTCATGTTACCTGTATATGCTATATTTGATAGTTGTAAATCTGGTGTTTTGACTTTTAGACCGTTACATGTTCAGTCTCTAGTCTTTCACTTATCAAGCCTCATAATATTGTCATATTATAATTTAATGAATTACAGTTGTGTACATGTGTCCTAAATACTATCACAATCATAGAAATGGGTTTTTCGTTATTATTTGTATCCAATAGAGCAATAAAACATTGGCTATCAACTATGTAACAGAAGACCAAAGTTTATTTGATTACTATGTCAAAGACCGAATCATAGTGAACGGAATGCCCCATTTACCTCCATGTCACCCCAGAGTGCAAACTTCTGAGCTCTGTACAGTACATCAAACATACCTCTGTTGTGGAAGACACTAAGGTCCTAAATTAATTGGCACTAAGTTAATTTTGTATCGATCAATCGAACGCGATATTCCGGAGATCCTGATCTGAACCCAATTAAGCTACCAGCCTGCCACCCGACCCTAACTTCTCAGGTACCCGCACACTCCTAATGAAATATTGATTTTAATCACGCGTAAGGTGGCGGCTGCCAGCCTTCCCATACCTTTTTCGTTTATTTTCTGCTACTTCTGCCCCTCAGACATGTAGAACACTTTTCTTTGACTTTTGGTTGGGTTCTCATTCAGTTATCAGAACATCGGCGAGAAACTCGGTCAGTTCACCAAGGCGGTCTCCGAGAACACTTTGTAAGTACACAAGCAATCGTGTTATCCCTCAGATCCAACATTTCTTCCAACTCCCTAACCGTGTCGATTGTCAACTAAAACAACCTTACAGTTGTACGTTACTTCTTTCTTCTCTGTCTATCCCCTTTCTGGACCAAGAGAAATTTTGGATCACAATTGTCACGCGTCACATACGTAACTACCCTCGCAATCATATGATCCCTTTGCACGTTGTCACACTGCTCACGCGAGATTCACTACGCTTCAGGTTGTTTGTCACGCTGCAGATTAAGCGTTGTACAGAAATTAGGGGAATATTTGAGAGAAATTAAGAGAGAGAGGCATACACCGTGATCACTGGGCTGATTGGGTAGACTCGAGATAGAGAATTGTCGTGTAGACCTTGAGTTAACGATAGAACGTATTTTCTATTGGTTATTTGCATAAAAGTAATAATAGAGGAGTATAAGCTTTTATATAACTAGCAGGATACACTCGTGACTAATAGATTGCGAGACTGTCAGGTTTGCGTGTGAGTAGAGTGCATGAGGTGTATTCATTGTCGAGGTCCCAAGCAAAGGCATCAGTGACCATGGATAACATGACCTTGCCTGGGTAGGACGAGTTTCATTAATATTTATCATTTCTTTCTCCTCCCACAGATTCCAAAAGACAGAGTCTGTGTTCAAGACCACGGCTGAGAAGACCACCAGCATTCTTGGAGGATTTGGAAGTGGATTATCCATGAAGCTTGGCCAGATGCGCAACTCTGACAGTTTTCGTTCCTTGGAAGAACGAGTTGGCTCTGCCTATGAAAACATGAAGGTGGCTGCTGATGGGCAGAGGAATCTCTGATTGAGGAGAGGAGTCTTGGAGCCTTTTTCTTGATGCCAATTGGGACTCTGTGTGAAATTAGCACATTGTTGTGATTATTAAATGACTTGTAGATAACAATTATTGATTAAACATACATTTTTTAGAGCATTGCATTTGGACAACTATTTGTGAAAGTTGAAGCTTTCAATATTTACATACTTCAGAATGGTTATTATGCAAGACACCAATTGGTATCAATAGGACACCAAAAATCTTGAATATATGTGCTATACTGAATTAAACTAGATTTTTAAACTAGATATATGGATTTATAAGATAAAGTGGAAGTACGTAGTATCTTATAACAGCTGCTACCTGTAATTTGAAGTAGAACTTGAAGGAAAAGGTTATTATACGTATCCTTACAGAAATAACTTCCCTTCAAGGGATTATTTTATCTACTTTATACTTGGTATAAAGAAAACTAAAGGAAAGTGTACTTATTTAAGCAGAAAAGTCACTGAGTGAACATAGGATTACATTAATTATTAATTTAAAAAAGGAAAGATGTATTTGTTATAAAACCTAGTTTACATATTCAGTATTGAAATTGTCAAGTTAGTTTTGAAAGTCACTTATATCCATAAGACTTGAGTCCTCAATGATAGAACATTTATATAAAGTACGGCCAACTTCCAATTCTTTGTTTAATAGCATACCCAATCGATTCTCGCTTCAGCTTTAAAATTAAGGAACGAGGCCTGAAATTAATTACGAACTCTCTAAAATCAAGTGTAACAACGTCGATCGATAATGTGACAAGTTCTTTCATTTAACTTCCCAATTATGCAGTATCTTAACTTTGATTACTTTCTAAACTCCTTGAGACTTCTTCGTCACCTTATCGAACACGAGACATGTACTTTCGCACCTTCTGTAAACTTTTAAATGTAACATCGATGAAAATGATGATAGAGGATCTGACGGATTGTTTGGTTATGTTTTAGACGAAAGTCGTGCCTTCAAGATCCAGCTCAATGCAGAGTTTCAACGACATACTTCGAGACTCCGAATCGTTACGCTCAGCACCATCAGCAACCAGCCCGACCATCCCGGAAGACAAGCTCCTCTCTTAGAGTTGGGCCTCTCGAGTCTACATCGATTTCTGCCTCTTCTCTGCGTAACATGCTGACGCGTCGATTTCTGATGCCGACGTTTCGCCCTATGCTACTCACTATCACTTCTCACTGCGTATTGCTATTAATCAGGGCTATGCGATGTCGTATACATATTCGGTCGTCTATAATAAGAAAAAAGAAAAAAGAAAAAGAAAAAAAAAATATAAATCACTTATGGAAAAGAGTGACGAAAGTTGGCTTTGCAGAACTCGGTCAATATGGTACAACGACTCGGATGATTTGTGTATTTTGAATATCTCTTCGTGTGCACAAACCTATGTAGGACATTGAACATTGTTAAAATTAGAGTTGTAACTTGATTCTTCTTTGTGACTTTATAAGTTTCACGATGGGTTTGTTGAAGCGAGAGATAATTTACGATTTCATTTTTTCTTTTTTTTATATATATATATGTATTGATTATAAATGATTACTGAACTCGTGTACAACGCAAGAAAAAACATTCTATTGATTTTTAATGCGTCGTGACATTTTTATTTTTTTTTCTTCGTTCAAATTTCTTCTTCTTCTCTTTTTGAAAAAAAGGTGCAGGATTTTTATGTTAGTCAACGCGCATAGTTAGTATTTGTGATGCTTGTCAGCGTTGTGTATCTGGATTTTACGTTTCCCCAAATCAAGGTCATGTTACTCAAGAAGATGGCAATTGATTTCCTTACTTTATCGAACTTATTTGCACTATAGCGAGTTTTGTAACGTATAATATAATATATCGTTGATACGTACCTTAATGTTCAGCGTTTCAACCTGTTTTTGCACCACAAATTCGTGAAAGTAGGCACACACGCTTTGAATAGATATTTTACTCTGGTGGCGTTTTTCTCGCATATCCTTTTCGGGATATCGATAATCTTACATCAGAAACGGTAAATCGATGTATTCCTATGACATACATTTCTGACTATCAGTGTTCTTCAGTAAGACTCGTGCTTCGACAATACTATCTATTTTTGTGTGGTACAAGAGGATCAATCTCTCTAAAAAAAAAAAAAGAAAAGAAAAAAACAATTCGAATTCTTGCAATAACGTTCATAGAGATTTCAGGATTAATTTACGCGGGACACAGGTGGCCGCCATTACTTTTCTGTTTATTGAATTTATTTCAAATATACCACTAAAGTATTTATCATTGTACGTTACTATATGTCGTTATAACTATATTATAAAACATTCTATAACTTGTTGCACTTAATTGAAAATAATGTCGATCTTAGTAAATGAAGCTACTATAGCAATCACGAACACGACAATTTATTCGAATCGGATCGTTCTAAGAATTAAACGTAAATTCTAACCTAACCTTGTTATGTAATGATCAGATTCTTATCGTCGATGTACTTTAATGTGTATTAACAAGGATTGTTTTCGTCTAAAAGAGTTTATGAAGATTGTAAAGATGGTTTGGAACAGTAGTCAATGGAAGAACGAGGCTCCCCGTGTTCCGTGATCATTGAGCCTTATGAATGACTTTATAAAAACGCGTGTAAGACCGATCTAACTGCAAATTGACTAGGAAAGCGAAGAATATTTTTTACTAAGCTCTATAATGAAATTACGTGGCGCGGATGTGCGGTGACCAAGAGCGCGTTTGCTTATTTTACAGATTCGTTAACTTAAAGAATCAAACACAACATATAAGTACATATTCACATACACACATGCATTTTTTTTGCATATTTAACGAGCTATCTGTCATTGAATTTAATCACTACGAATGTGTCGTAAATCTGCGCTCATATCGTCATCGACAACCTGCTACATGATCTACTTGTTCATATTGGTGAATAAATTATTTTAAAAAATGCTACACGTGAAGAGCGATTTTTCACCCATAGTATGCAGTGTGACTAAACGCTTATTATATATTAAAGATCTATGTGTGCTTCTTAATTATATGGAACTTATTCATACTTAATGAGAATTTAATAATATATTTTTTATGAAAATTTCAACAGTTCTTTTTCTTTTACTAGTTTTAGAAGGATCTCTTCGATTCCTAGTTAATTAGATAAGATAATTCATTTATCTCCAAGATTATTCCATGAATTATAAATTTATATTTTACAGGAATTCTTTATAGGTTTTAAGCATTATTTGTGTTAGCTTGAAAGGAAAATTACAAATTTCCATAAATTTTGACAAGTCTACAATTAAATTTTATCTCATCTGTAGATGACAATATTTCAAACTCGTTTATGTTATATATATATACAGTGTGTCATTGGAATAATCTTATACATTATTTAAGAAAATCTGTACTTTGTATAATATGTTAAGGTTACCGTCCTAATATAAGAACAATCTTTGGAAACTACTCTATCTTTGAGTACCAGTTTCCTGCTTATAATAAATGGACCACTTTATAAACTATCCTGCCAATCATCTTATTTTTTCGTTTTGATGTAACCCTGTTTACAAATTAATTCCTTAACAAGTCCTTAGATATTTGGGCTATAAGAGAAAAAAATATTTTTCAATTTAAATAAAGAAACTTTCATCTAATAATAATATTCAATTATCATTTTATTTTATTAAATTGTTTAACTAAAAATCTCAGTATTGATTATGTTTTAAATATTTCATTATGATTTTTTAATTTAAAACTATTTAATTAATTATTATTTTGATTTAATTGATAAAAAATTATTCTTACTGTTTACTTTGTAAAAATATATTAACAATCAACTTTCTAAATTAGAAACAACTGTTTATCAAATTAATAATATGTAGACAAGAAATCAATTTATTATAAGTATAAAGTATAAGAATAAAGTAAGACTATAATCTATAAAATTTAATGTAAAATTTAAAAAACAAAAATGTAATTTGTAAAATTTTCTTGAAAATAAATGATTTTCACTATGAAGTAAAATTTCTTTGGAGCTGTTCTCTAAGTATTAATCGGTTTACATTAAACTGTGACATGGTTGTTGCATTGTCTATTATCTTTTTTGACGTCTTTTCTATTAAAGGAACGAGTAAGAAGACGCGATACGGATTGGCATTTTCTACCATACGTATACTACTGGTTATAAGCTTAGATTTATACATCGCGTGTAGTTTATGTACAAAAAGTTCCAGTGACAAGAAATCCTGGACTGTCGATTAATTACTCTTTACGTTTCAGAAATTTATATAATTTTTTACGTCATAAAACACAAGTATCAATATATTATCATCTTATTAGATATTGAATGATTAGAAATTGCATAAATGTTTCCATAATTATTACTTTTTGCTTACTTATGGTCACTTTTTTTTTAACTCCAATTATTCTATATACTTTACTGCAACATTTAATATCAGTAATGACTAGCTTTTTAATTTAATATTTAAGAGAAGCCAATTTTTTAATTACTATCTTTTTTTCTAATTTGTGTATATATGTAAACATAAAATTCAACTTACCTTGATTAATACCAAAACTAGTATATTCTACATAACCTTTAAATATTTATAAACTTTTATTTTTTCGTTATCCATTTGTATATTGAGGTTATGTTTTATTGAAGTAAGATTTACCAATGTGTTCAATACGTTCTGGTAATATGGAGGATGTACGAGGATGAACGGAGTGTGAGAATAGATCAGTGAGAATTGATCAGTTGGGAAATACATTCATTCACACGGCATTAAAAAAAGGAATTGGTCAACTACTTTATTGCCATTCTTCACGTGGTACAAAACATAGTTCGGGTGCGTACGAGCACGCTTAAGTACAAAACAAAAACGATCCTCTACAAGTAGTCTTCTCCAGCTGCATGGCGAGAGCAAACAAGTAGAAAGGTAAGAAACAGAGAGAGAGACAAGAGTGAAACGAAACAGAATAAGAAAAGGAGGAAACAGAAATAAAAAGAGAAAGAGAAAAAGAGAGAGAGAGAGAGAGAAAGAGAGAGAGCTGTGTTAACATTATATGCATACATATCTGTATATGTATGTGTATACATATATATGTGTGTATATATATGTATATATATATCCGTACATATATCTGTATATCTGTATACGTATAGAAACATGTGTATATATATATATATTACGACTTCGTTAACAACATAAAATGTAATTATTCACATAACACAATAATCTGTGATCTATAATATTATAACGATCTGGTTTTGTACTGGATAGGCCAACACGTACAGTTTCCTATATACATAGTCGAGACTCTTTATTAAACTTCCATCATCGATGACCTTCGTTTTAATTAACATAATTAAAAGAGAAAAGAAGATCCATCTCTTAATCATGATATAGGGGGCGCAAGCTTGGCCTGTCGCTCTTATCAGGCACCGTGCAGGCCTGGTTGAGTATTATTTAGTTTATTTAGTTTAATCATTTACTTAATTATCATCTCGTTGAAAATACCTCTTAATGGATATATCTCGTTACCATGGTAACCTTGGAATCGGGTCCGCTATTTTGACAACGGCCAACAACACCGACGTCCACCGTTGCCTTTTAAGGTTAGGTTCGTATTAACTAAGGAGTAGAGTGTGAGAAGAAAAAATATATATATTTATAATATATGTATATATCTATGAACAAAAGGGGGAATTAACGTTAAATTAAGAACGCAGTGTAGCGTGATCGGAAGGGATCGTTTTATGATACAACGGTACCTTGAGTATTATTCAACGTGAACAAATCGGCGCGACGGCGTTCTGAACGTCTGTCGTCGTTGAATCACGCGGTAACGATATAATTATGCTTACGATTAGGCGAATCACGAGTAACGATTGTCGTTGATGAATCGCAGTTGTTGGCGAGAATCGATTTTGTGCCGAGAGGAAATTCGTTCGAGCCTCCATTGCTTATTCGAGTCGTAAATAATCCTTCGATTCTTTCAGAACCTTCGAGGAACGATCGAGTATATAATATCGATTTTTTTGTTTTTTTTCTTCTTTATTCCGATACACCAGCTTTATTATACACCATTCGAATAGCTTGAAATCACTTATGTCACTTTCCCACGAACTTCTCGGTTTTCAAATTTGCATAAACGATAACGCGAAGCGTATAACTCTCGAAGATCGTGTTTCGTGGACATGCATGAAGGTTAGGTGTTCCATATTGGGGTACGAAGTATGGAAATGTTACGACAGAGGGAGTACCTGCGAGCAACTTCACGCGTATCGTGCGATTCGTTTCGTACGTGGCTAGTAGATTGCACTTTCTGATCTTCTGTGCGAACTGTAAATAATTTCGCTATGTGAAATTCTGTTATACGTTTTTGACATAATTTACATCGATTAAACTTTGCTACGCGGATTTAGTATAACGTAATACTGCGACTTCTGTGTAAATATCACGTTTCAAAGATCACATTACTTTTCGTCGCATTTATATAGTACGGTTTACACGCATTCCTGTTTCGGACCGTTTCAGAAATTTTTGTATCATTTAATCTCTGGATTAAAGATCATTTTACAAATGATTTTCTCCATTTTACACATTACTCTTTAATTTTAATCAACAGGTTATAATAAATTAATAAAATTATTACTTTCAATATAATCATAATCATTTTGGAAAGCCATAATAAAAAAATAAAAATGAAAAAATCACTTCCTTTTTCAAAAGTGTTTTTCTACAATTTTTAATTGCACAAATTTCAAATTTTTTCGCAATACGCGATATGCAGTTAACTATACTTATTAGTAATATATTCAATCCTGACTTACAAAGATGCATAATTTTTAAAGGAGTGTTAAATAGCACACGTACACTTTTTCTCATAAATAAATAAAAATTCGGGAGATACTTAATAGGATAGTATAACAATAACAATTAAGAAACAAAAATGGTGTTACCAAATTTTCTCCTCCAAAAAAGATACACCTGTTGTCTAACAATCCTTTCGAAAAAAGCCAAATTTTGATGCAGCTTGTAATTTCGAAAAGCTACGATATTAATAGCACGTTAAATGCTAACGTATATCTTCCTCGAACCAATTTTAATCTTCCCAGGCGTATCAAAAATGTGTGAAACGGTCCAGATTATCTAAGAAACAATCTCATAATTGCACACATCGTTCCCGAACAATTCGTCCGAGCACGAAAGACTTTCTTCTTCCCGCCGTGCACAATGGCCGCCGCGCTGCGCGCGCAGCTCGCATGCAGACGCGTCTAGGATGCGGCAAGCCTTCTTTTTCGCGGCAATAAAATTCACCTATGATAGTCGGGCCACGACATTATCCTCGTTTACCCGATTCAACCGTGGCGACCTTTGCACGTGAACGTTGCACCTTTTCGTGCAATCTTCCATCTACGGAGGCCATTGTTGCCGTATCCCCCATGGCTGTCGTGGTTCACGGCGAGAGAGACGGGGGTGTGGCACACCTCCGTCCTACCTTCAGAAGGTTAACGCGCTGTAGCGGTATTAGTCAACCACAATGCGCCATAGATGTCGCTGAAAAATCGCGGGCCAACCGTGCGGCTGAATAAATCGTCGTGAGATTTCACTTGGTTCCTGAATCTATTTTTTGCTTGCTCTATGGTATGGGTGCCATGGCAGTGATTTCTCGAGGAAGCACGTAGGCAATGGACGCGGAACGTGTCTTGAAAATTATTCGTTTTTGGTAAGAATTAATTTAGTTTGGAATTTAACCCTTTCGCCACGATGTAGTCGGCTGCCGGTATGATGGAATAGTTGTGAGACTATACTATAGCATAGAAAACGGAGTGTAAATTAATAATTGGTTTTTCGTTCCAGTTATTTTACATTAAAATATTGAGAATTATAGGGAAATGCATGTTAGAGTAGTAAGAAGAGTAGTGAATTTTTAGAATTGTTTAGTACCGTGGTTTTATGTGGAAGATTTTAAAATAGT